GAATATCGTTTGGTGGGTGTCGACTAATATATTGATGATTTCATTTTTAGCTAAATATGGTATGTCTTGTAACACACAAATGACCCATATATATTTGGTGCCCTTTTTATTTTAGATTCGAGTTTTTTCTAGCGGCGACAAAGATGGCAACAAATCAAAATAATAGTCCACTAAACAATAAAAATCCCGAACCTCTCATATTATCTTACCTGGTTCATAAAGGATATAAACAAACTGAGGCAATGTTCAGACAAGAATCTATAAGAAACCATTCAATGGATCAAAATAATATAGAAATTCCAACACCTAATTTTTTTAATTATTCTAATTATTCTTCTTATTCTAATATCAACCCAGATATATACAAACAAAGTTATTCTGGTCTAAAAGCTTGGATTGAGCAGTCATTGGATAAGTTTAAGGTAACATATTCGTTTAATTTGATTGATCAATTATTTAAATAATTACTAACATGATAATGAATCAAGGACGAACTACAAAGGGTTCTTTGGCCAATATTTGTAAATTCTTATCTTGAACTTGTATTAAAAGGATTTCCTGATCAAGGTTGGTGGTAATGATAAGATGCTTGTGGGATCATTTTGTTGGTTACTCTTCGTACCAACCATCCCATGACATCTATAATCAATTAGCGACAGATTTCTTCAATGCTTATCAATCGGACCACGTAATTCACGTCAAAGAGCTCAATACAATGCGAGTGATAACACAACCGTATCATGTACATGAGAATGAATTTGCTCAAAATTTTCGTTCAAGGAAATATTTAGTAAAGATGTGTAAAACATCGTATGAAATATTTCTCGATTTTTTGCAAGTAGATAATAATAGTAGCTTCTTGTTAAGGCTCGTAAATCAATATCTAAATATTGAAGGTGTGTGATGATATATATAAATGATTCAAAAAATTTAAAAGAATTGATTTATTAACTTTCTTGTTTTAATAGTGAAAGCCGGAGGATTCGGAGTATCTCATACTGATATTGGTGCCCCTATTTATTCCTCATATGAACTTGATGAATACAATAAACAAGAAGTTCAATTGGGTTATATGCAAATGGATCCAGAGCTGCGTGAAGAGTTAGAAAGAGAATTAAGAGAGCAAGATGGAATCCGTCAAAGGCAAATCGAGGAAGCAAATCAGGTAAGAGCAAATGAAAATCAGGTAAATAATTATATGTACATGGATTAAAAAAAAAAGAAGAAAAAAAAATTAATTATTTTTTTTTATAACTTTAATCTTATAAAATATTTTGACATAGATGAATGAAATGGAGCCAATTCCATCGTTGCAACAAGAATTTTTGAATAAATTAAAAAGGGAACAAAGTTCTGATGCACCTGACAGGATGTCTATCCCGCTTCCATCATAGTATGTTTTGTTCAAAATTTATTACAATGAAACCTATTATACACGGTAATGAATTTATTTATCTGACTTGCGAGACGTTCAGCAAGGGAGCTGACGTATTATCACACGTCGAAATGGTTAAAGACTTGACACTACGAGCAGAATTGGATCCATCTTCCACTCTCCCATCAATTTGTTTTTATACATTTTTTAATACTTACGATAGGTACAGATTAAAATTTTGAAGTTCGACAATTTCGCACGATAAAAAAGCTTATCTTTCATTTCACTATTACTTTAATAGCTTGAATTGCTTATCCATATCCGAAGACACAACTCTTATCGCTGGAGGTTTTTCGGATTCATACGTTAAAATCTATAGTTTGAAACGCGAAAAGCTAAGAGGATTACGAGGACTTATAAACCCAGCTGAAATGAAAACCGGTAACATACATATTTTAGACCGAATACATATTGATTAAATATGGAACTCGAATTGGTTTTTTATCTTATGTATTTATTAAGTCAGCGACCTTGAAAATGCAAAAGAACGAGTTGGTAGTGATTGTAAAAAACTTTTAGGACATTCCGGGCCTGTATTTGGATTAAGTTTCAGTCCTGATAATAAATATATTATTTCATGTTCGGAAGACAGGACTGGTAAAAAAAAAAAAATTATATTTCTATTTATTTTATTTCTATTACATGCATAATATGTAATTAACCAATTTTATATCGGTTCTTTATTTATTTAATTTCAAGCGCGACTTTGGAGTATAGACTCATATACTAATCTTGTATGTTATAGAGGTCACAATTCCCCAGTATGGGATGTTGATTTTAGTCCCTTGGGATTATATTTTGTAACAGCCTCACATGATAGAACTGCTAGGCTTTGGAGTTGCGATCATATTTATCCTTTAAGGATCTTTGCGGGACATATATCAGATGTTGATGTATGTAAATTTACCAATCAATAATGTATTGTTTGTTTTTTAAGGATAAAATCTATAATGTTGAATTTCATTTATTCCACAAGACCGTCAAATTTCATCCAAACTCTAAATACGTCATCACTGGATCTAGTGATAAATCAGCTCGTATGTGGGATATTCAGGGAGGTAGTTGCGTTCGATTATTCTCTGGTCATACTGGAGGAATTTCATGCTTAAGTATATCTGATGATGGACGCCTAATGGCATCAGCAGGTAACTTTTTAAAATACAAATATTATGTATGATCTTGACACATTTATCCTTTTCTTCTTTATTTTCCTTTAGGCGAGGATAAGTCTATAATGTTGTGGGATCTTGGAACTGGAAAACTTCTCAAAAAAATGTTGGGTCATAAATCTACTGTATATTCATTAGATTTTAGCAAAGAAAGCAGTATTCTGGTATCAGGCAGTGCGGATGGTACCGTTCGCATATGGGATGTGAAAAAAAGCATGTCGGATAATTTGAATGAAGATGAACATTATTCGAGCAAAGCTAGAATGGATATAGATGAAAATCGTTCACCGGTTACGAAGCATAAATCTATAACTGAAACTAAGTTAGTATAAGGATTCTTTTAATTATCGCAGTATTTCAAAATTTTTATTATACAAAAATCAATAATATATCTATCTCTACATGTTTTAGGGATCTTATAAAGACATTACCGACAAAGCAAACACCGATTTACAAAATTCAATTTACCAGAAAAAATTTATGCCTTGCAGCTGGAGCTTATATGCCAACAGAAGAAGAGTTAAAAGGCAATAATGAACAAAAGAATACTTAAAATAACTTATTAGTTTTAACGCATTGAATATCATTTCATTAAATTTAAATATTTAATGAGGTCGTTTTCAAGTTTGGTGATGCATAATAAATAATTCGTCGCTCATTTAATTTAGTAAAAGAAAATTCGAGCGTATAATTGGCATATTTGAGAATTTGTTCCAAGAGTTTACTCCTTTTTTCTATCGTTCAGTAGTTAGAACGGCAGAACTTTTTGTATAGTCTTTTTTTTTTTTTTCATTTTTTACGATAATAAAGCTGCCTAGTTTCAACCAATCAAAATTGCGTAAACAAATATTAATTTTAATATAATTTATTCTTCCATTTCATCATCATGTTGACTTTCTTTCCAATCTTCCATATCAACCTTTTTCCTTTTTCTCATTCTACCGTCTCCGCCTTCAATGTCGGCAATATATTCTCTACCAGCCTTCTCTCTTAATTCTTCAACATTTTTTTCAGTTTCAGCATATTCCAATATTAAATGTCTACCCAATAAATGAGTATCTCGTAAATTTTCCATAACATTTCTTGCATCTCGTTTCGTTAAAAACTCTATAAAGGCAAAACCACGTGATGTACGATCAAATTTTTTTGGTATTCTAAGTGATTTAATTTGTCCATAAGCACCAAATAACTCCCTTAATTCTTTTATTGTTGTTTCAAAGGCTACATTTTTAACTATAACTTTGGTTGACTCTTGTTTCTTTTTAATGATTTCGTCTTTTTTCTTTCTTTGTATAACATCTCCACGATTTGAAAATTTCAGTTGTAACGCATGACCATCAAGTAAATAATTCTACCAATAAATAATTGTTAAATAAATATCTTAAAAAAGCCACCCTTAAGAAAATATTTATAATTAAACATACCTGCATAGCTTTTAAGGCATTCTTTGCATTTTTTATACTATCATATTCAATGAAACCAAATCCCATACTTAACTTCTTACCGGGATTTTTTTGATCATTCTTCATTCTTATTTTTGCAGATTTCATACCAGGAGTACTTTTGAATAAATTTTTTAGCCCTTCTTCTGTAGTTTCAAAACTTATATTTTTCACAAATAGAGTAGCAGTCACTTCAGAATCAACATCGACGTTATCATCATCTATATCAGGTGTAGGTTCAACAAGGTCAGCAGAAGATACTACTTTCTTTCCTTCTTGTTCAGATGATTCATCATTTTTAAAAACACCACTTGGCGCTTTTTCTAGATAAAGTGGAACTCCCTTAAACTTTTTATAAGCAAGGTTTGTGAATGCGTTCCTAGCTTCCGTTGGATGTAAGAATTCTATTACAGCAAGAGTTTGGGCCGGTGGTATTAGTATCTAATTAAGAAGAACATGTTATCCATAAGTATAATGAATCTCTTATTTTATATTTTTTAAAAAAAAACTTACGCGACCAATTTCTCCGTACCATCCAAATAATTGTTGCAAGTCTTCTTTAGTGGTACTGAACGTAATATTTTTTACCAGGATAACAGTATCACTTTTCTCCTTTTTTCCAAAGGAATCTAAGCACATTCCATTCTAAGTAAGAGTAACAAAGTATTGTAGTATTTATATAGAAGACTGATGTAATCAAAAGATTAAGTTTACCTCGGAAAGAAAGGCTTTCGTTTCTTGTATAATATGTGTTTCTGCAAGAGCAAGACGAGCGGACATATTGTCACTCTCGGGATCTAATATGTCCGATTTTTTAATTTTAAATCTATTTGCAATGGATTCGGCAATTGAATTGCTCTAAAATGAAAATATAAAAGAGATTATTACATTTATTAAAAATATCAAGAAAATATTAAGTAAAAAAATGATACACACATTCATATATAAAGTACTCCAGTTAAAGTCGTTTGTTGCTTGTGCTTTCAGTTTCATCTCTTTTTGTTTTTTCAAACTCCATTTACTTTGGTCAACGTCGCGTGATGTAGGTCTTTCCCTAGAAGGCAAAATATGTAATAATCTACCCATAAAAAATTTGTTATCAAGTTCTATATAAGCCATGACAGCATGCTCGGGAATATGATAAAGAATATAAGCAAAGCCTTTTTGTTTCTTAGTTTCTTTATCAAGCGGCATGTGAACCTAGAAGTAATTCAACCAGTCAGAAAGGTTAATTTTAATTAAAAAAAATTTGATTCAAGTATGAACACATACTTCGGCGAGTGGTCCAAATTTGATAAACTCTCTCCGTAAATCTTCTTCCGTACAGATGTATGGAAGATTTCTAACGAATAAACGACCAGTTTCACCTATAGATTCTTCTGCTGGAACTTCGGTGGAATGATTACTATTAATTGTCTCTTTGTTGGGTGTTTGTATATCATCATTATTCGTATCATAAGACTGTACGTCAATATCATCCTTTTCCTCATCATCTTGACTACTTTCATTATCAGGATCAGATGAAGAGTCAACTTGGTTCTAAATTAATTAAATTAAATTAATAATTATATAATACAATGTAACATGTTAATTTATTCCTCAATTAAATGATCAATAACCTCTCCTTCATCTTCTAAATCAAGTTTTCCTCTCATTCTTGACTTGAGCCAATCTGTATCTGATATCGAGTCTATAGTCGTATCAACATCCTGCATTTCTTCATCTTCGCTCTCGCTACTTGACATATTATTTTTATTATTTGCAGATTTAGTCACATCTTTCTTGCCTTGCTTTGGTAAATCTTGATAAAGTTCATCATCATCTGATTTTTCAATTTTTGCATTCTTTTTAATAGGATTGCTTTCGTTTATTACTTTAGAATTTTTCAAATGTGAATCTAAAATTGTCAAATCATCATTTGCCCAAGTTTTAGATTTTGATCTTGGTTGCATAACTTCCAAAAATTCTTGCAATTTTTCATTATTTTTATTTTTATCTTTAATTTTTGACTTTAAATCCTTTTGATTTTGATCTCTAGTTACTTTGGAAGTGTCATCTAATGATTTATTATTAGGATTTTGTTGTCGGAATTGTTGATGTTTCATCTCATATCTTGAAGAACCAACACTGTGCGCACTCCAAGGTCTAGAAAGTGATGAATCGTTTACCTATATCACGAGTAGGTTAAATTAGTATTGAATATTCTCATTTCGATTACCGAGATGACTCACTCACAGGTTTAGCAATCTCAACTGCGATCCTTGAAGTATGTATATAAGTATTATTAAAATACTTTAATGCCTCATTTGCTTCTTGTTCTGTGCGATAACCAATAAAACCAAAATAACGAGATTTACCATCACTACAATTGAAAAAATTTAAGGTATAAAGATTAAGAAATTAATCGAGTTAATCAATTATTGAATCAGAATTAGTAACCTTGTTTTCATTATTTTTGCATCAGTTACTTGACCTTTCGAAGAGAAGTGCTCACGAAACTTGTGATCAGTTAAGTTTTTTGGTAAATTTTTTATTATTAAACGAGACCTGTCGAATGCAAATTATTCATTATTAGTGTAGTATAACCAATAATAACATGCAAATACAAGCTTTCAACCGCGCACGGTATCTTCAGGTACTAATAAATTTTTACATTTTTGATTTCGCGCTCTTAATGAATGATAAGGTGAAAAACAAAAAATATTTTTTTTATCGATAATCTATTTTTAGACAAATGGATGACGTGATTAATTTTTAAGACGCAGTTCCGAAACTACGAAACTACCAATTAAATAAAGATGAAGTATACACAGAAGGATCATTGATATTGATACAAGCAAGGTAAAGATCATTGGCATCTTTTGAAGCCGTAGACAAAACGACTTTTGGCAACGTTTAACAAGGAGGTTTAACAGAGAAGTTTCAATGGGCGGTGGATATTTCCATTAAAGAAAATCATTTAACGCTATATGAAAAGAGCAAATTACGTTCGTTCTAATTGAATTATCAACTTAAAAATAAATGTTTTTGATCTAATCTTCCGTAAGAAGAGTACATTTACTCCTCTAATAGATTAACCTATCGTTATTTGTTTCATGTCATGTAAAAAAAAAAAAAAAAAATTTTTTCATAAAGATCCGAACGATCTTATTTTTTCTGTGTTACGAATTATGAATTACAAAAAAATAAAAGGAAAAAAAAACTTTGCTTTGAAAGTGAAGGACATATGAAGAAAGGAAAAATATTAAATAGGCGTGAATCATTGAAACATTATATAAATATAGAGTAATACTGAATATCTAAGAAATGAATCTATTAATATTACTCGAAAACAATCGTAATTTTTTTTTTTTTAATAATTGTATTTGCTGTGCCACACGAAAATGCAACATTTGACGATATTTCCAAACATTCCTTTTGGGTATCAACATTTGATCTCTTTGTAATTGAATGCTTCTTTATTATTGAAGAAAAAGGATGAGTGGCATGCGTGGTGACAAAAACGGAGTAATCGTTTTGAATCATAAATCAAAGCCTTACAAATAACTGAAACGTGTACAATACAAACAAGGAAATTTTTATAATTGTGTAGAACAAATTAAATCAGCACATAAGTTAAACAAAAAAGTAAATGAATAAATAATATATAATAATTAATATATTATTATTATTTCTGAAGTTGCATGTTAAATGTCACCGCCTTATTCCAAAATTCTTATAGAACATATTTAGATATTATATTATCTTCCACATACGGTTAAATGGTTGAATTACATTAAATGAAAATTTATATAAATTCAGTCTGTAACTTATGTATTTTCAAAAAAAAAAAAAAAAATCCAACCCAAATTTATTTTTTTTTTTTCAAAAAGAACGAGAGAACTGGTTTTCTCTTCGTTTCTTTAATATAATTCCTCTTATAGAACTTCATTTAAAAAAAAAGATTTAAACTTTATCATAAAAAAAAAAAAAAATGCATATTAAAAATTTCTTTCTATCTTTCTTGATTTTGACAATCGAATTAACGTCTAATGTACAGGCTGGTAAGTTGATTTATGATTAATTAATAAATGATTTTGATAACTAAATCTTGATTTAATTGAAATTCCACCTAAAATTTTTATAGCAAAGTTTATTCGAAACGAACAGACATTATCATGTCTTGACCGTTCCTTCATTCCTTTCTCCGATAAATGTTCAACCATAACATTAACTCCATGCCCAACCGATAGGTTTCAAAGTTTTACAGAATCTTTCGAATGGGATATCATTCCTGTCAATTCCTCGTTAAAAAATTCTCCGATAATAATAAAATCCGATAAATTTTGTTTGAGTGCTTTGCCAAATAGTAATAATATAAATGCTTGCTCTTGTGATAGTGCCGCCACAAACCAACAATGGATTTTGAATAATGATGGGGTTTTAAATAACGTTGATTCCGGAAAATGTTTAGGTTTAGTAGGTGACAAAGTTGCCTTGGGAACTTGTCAAGCTTGGAAGTTTTATCACGTTGCACCTCGTAAGTTTTTTTAAATTGGTCTCGTTTTTAACGAGTTGAAAGTCACGTGACTTAACATTACATCTGTTTTTTTAATAGATGCGGTAAACTTGTACACAAGCAAAGAATTTACCGGAAAACAAGAAAAACTTTTGGTCAATACTTACACTTCAAAATCATTACCTGCCGAAATATTTTCATCAGCATTCTCTCTCGAGATTCCACCGGGATTCGAATTTATTGTTAATAAAAGTAATAATAAAGTCGAAATTTTTGAATCTGACATTGCGCAGATGTCACCCATCGATTCTCTCGATTCTATCATTATCAGATTAAAACCTGGAATGATAATCTATGAAGAACCCGCGTATTTTGGTGCAAGTAAATTTATGAAAGTCGGACCTTCAGAATTACTCCAAACTATGAACCTTGGTTCCGCTTTGGTTTCTGAAGGTTTTCGTGGCGTTTTTTGGTCAAATTCAAATTTTACTGGGAATAACATTGGTTTATTTGAGTCCATAGCTAACTTTACCGGAGCTCCAGTAGACGCTAAGCAACTCTCAGTTGCCAGTTTAGACATCTCAGCCAGTAAGTATTTTCCTTATCTAAGAAAATCACGTGAAAGTCATATGATTCACAAAACCTTTTCTCATTTTATCAGCCGCATGCCAAAATGAGTGTGGTTCTAGTGGTACCTGTTCATCTGATGGTACTTGTGCTTGCAAGCCTGGTTTCACTGGTGACAGATGCGAACGATGTTTACCCGGGTTCTTTGGAGCTACTTGCCAAGAATGCAACGCAAAATGTAATAAAATTTGTGATGATGGATTGGCAGGAACCGGAGAATGCAAATGCAATCCAGGATTTACCGGTGAAACTTGCAATCAATGTGCTCCCGGTTTCTTTGGTAACAAGTGTGAAGGTACATATTTTTTTTTCTTTATATTTATGATAACAATTCAATTCGTATTTACCAATTATTATTAATAGAATGTCAATGTGGTAATGGCACTTGTGATGAACAAGGCAATTGTTCTTGTAATGCTGGCTTCTTGTTGGACCCTAAAAATAATCGATGCATGGATTGTAAAGAAGGATTTTATAAATCCGGAAAAGAGTGCAAGCTATGTGCTCCGGGTTGTGGATCATGCGAAGCGGAGACCGGAAAGTGTCAATGTTTACCGAATCTTAAGTCTTCTGATGATGGACTATGCGAACCAAATCCAGATCTGACTTGTTCACCAGATGAATATTTTGATACAGTTTCTCAGTTATGTTTTAAGTGTGATCCTACCTGCGAGACATGTTTTGGACCTGGAGTTGGAGGATGCATAAAGTGCCAACCATCAATGGTTTATTTGGAAGGTTCCTGTATTTTATTAACACAAACTACCGAAAGTAAATGTTCACCTTCTGCAGTAAATCAGGCATTTGTTATAGATAATTCAAAACGAACCTGTGTAACTTGTCCAAGTTCGTGCCTTGATTGTTCAATTCCAAACTTCAGTGAGGTTAGTCTTATTGAAGAAGTACAATGCACCAAATGCATGCCGGGTTTTTTTCTTAATAATGGTACATGTGTAAAAAATTGTCCTGAAAATAAATATGCTGACAATACCGATTTCGTTTGTAAAGGTGAGAATTTAAAAAAAAAAATAAAATTATGAAATATGCGCTTCCTAAATAAGAATGATTCATTAATGAAAATTTTATTTCTTTATTAGACTGTGACACCAGTTGTGCTAGTTGTAAGGGTCCGAAAGGAAATGAATGTATTACATGTTCGAACGAAAATTTCTTCGCTTTAGATGGAGTCTGCTCATCCACCCAATGTCCCTCTGGATTTATAGCACTTAACACAACCTGTACAAAGTGTCATTCAGATTGTACAGAATGCACGGGTCCAGAGATCAATCAATGCACCAAATGTCCACCTAATCGTCCGATTATAAAAGATGGACAATGTGTAGAAGTTTGTCCGATGGGAACTTACGCTGATGAGACTGGATGTCAGAAATGTAATGCGGATTGTTCTTCATGCGTTGGATCAAGACCTGATCAATGTCTTGGATGTAGTGACCAATCTAAAATTTTACTTGGAGGTTCATGTAGTGGATCATGTCCAGCTGGAAGTGAATTAATTAAGAGTGAAAGACTCTGTCAAAATTTGGTCACTGAAGACATACTTCCGCCCGAAAAAACGAGGGAAGATCAAAAACAAGATAATTACTTTAATACATCTAAAGGACTTGAATGGTGGATGGTTCTTTTAATTGTTCTCGGATCAATTCTATTCTTGATAATAAGTGTTATGATAATGAGATGTTGTGCTGTAAGAAGAAGAAAGAAAAAAACCAAGGAATTTGGTGACCAAATTGATGATAATTTTGTGAATGATAATTTGAAGACGATGTTGCGTAATGCACGTGAGCCCTCTCAACCGGAAATGTCTCATGACCCAAGACCTGCATTGAGACCTCATGAAATTGAGAACCCATTAAATCAAAGGGCCGCCGAAAGGCATCAAAAAACTATGTCCATATCTTCTGATGATTATAATAAATGGAAAAAGAAACCTACAAAGAGTGATAAAGACTGGGGAGGATTTAATAATATTGCAAATGCAGAAGGATCTAATTCTGGTCATAGGAATAGTAAAAGGTCTATAAGATCAACTAATTCGATTAGCACTAAAAGGTCCTACAATCTTCCGCTCAATATTGATGGAAGTAGGGAAGGAAATTGGGTTTAAAAAATTCTTTATAATAAAAAAAAGAAAATTAATATTAAATATTAAAGTTACATTCTTTTAGACTAAATTAATTATTGGGTTGGGTTGGTTGCGATGTTAAAACACTATCTTCTTATATGTACAGTTTATAATTTATTTGTTTTAAATAAAGAAAAGTGATTGTGTTTTAATAATTAATATATCATTTTTAAAATATATTA